TGACATCAGGAAATGAGTTTGGTGCTTATGACTCACCTGATCAAAACACTTCCACCAGTCTCTTGAGGGGCTGCAAACAGCATTGACCACATAGGTTGGATCCTGCTCTTATTAGCATTGGATGAATAGTCATGGCCCTAGAGAGAATGTCCTGGAAAGGGACACAGAAACACATACTTCTGGAGGATGTCATGCATCCTAGGGGAGTCCACCAGGAATTATCTATGATTTACAGAAAATGCTAGATCAAAATTCAGCAAAGAAGCAGCGGGAACATAGAGAATTAATTCCTTACTGGAAGCTGATCTTAGGAGACCAGTTGAGAGGTTCTCTTGCTGGAACGAGGAGGGAAAACATCACGTGTTTTACAAACTGTTCTTGTTTGTACATCCCCTATTGGAATTCAATATGGCAATAGAATAACTCACAAGTGGTGCAGCCAATAGATCTTCTGCTTGTTTGCTGTGTGTCTGGACAGTCACTCTTTCCTAAATGTCAGAATTTCCCTACTGAACTGATCTCTCTGATTTGTCTGGATCAATCTGAATTTTCAGCCAGTGCTTTGGGCTGCTTTCAGTCCCTCCAGCTCAGGAACATCTGAGAATTTAATAAGCACATTCTCCACTACAAGTTATTGATGAAAGAACAGTGAATGATAATGTTAAACCAAGGACTGGAGTCTGCCACAGAAGGAAAACACACTCATCTGAAATGATTCATTCTTGGAGATGGTCATGCTTATTACTCATTTCTTTCTTTGATGAAATGTCCCACTGGTTTTTTTGTGACTTGAAGTTGACTGGTTTATAGTTCCTTGGCTTCCTGTTTCTACCTTGATAAGAGACCCCATGATCTCATTTTCCATGACCCCCTTCCCCTCCACCTTTTCCCACAGATACTGGATGTTTGGAGGTGGCTTCAATCAATTTTTGAGGTGAAGGGGATTTTTTTAGGCAAGCAGTCTGAAAATAAGGAATGATTGAAATATACTTTAATTCAAACTTTCCAGGATCCTCCCACCTCCTCCACCAGCTGTTTTGCCAGTGGGAGAAGGAAGAGCAGTAGAAGACAGAAAATAAGCATTGATTAGATTTTCACTACAAAGATGGAAATTGAATAGAAATGCAAAACTTCTCTTCCTGCTGGTTGCCCTATCTTCCTACCACACAGCAACCACCTGGGAAGATCTGAATTTGCTTAAGGATGGAACTGAGATCACAGGCAATGGTAACATCCGTGGTTCCTCTCTCCCAGTGTTGTTTTTGTGTTGTTTTCAGCTACAGGAGGTGCCATCTGGGGAGGGAACAGGCCCCTAGCCAGCTTTGGTTGTGCTCCTCAAGCTCCCACAGCAGCAGTAACAGCAATTCCAGCCAACATTCCTGCCTGTTGCCTTCAGCATCTGTCAGTTGACCTGCAGCTGCTCATGAATTTGCTACACCTTTTATAAACCTGCTGATCCTATTTGTTTCCACAGCCTCCTGTGGCAGCGAGTTCCAGAAGTTCATTCTCCCACCTGGCCCATGTAAAGTCCTTTTCATCCATTTTGAACCAACCTACCAGGCTGATCAATGGCCTCCATCCAGTCATGCAGCACCTGATGTGCACCAGGTCCACGTTCATTTTATGACTGTGCAGAGCTGGCCCTTTTTGTCCCCCCTTCCTCAGGGAAAAATCCCAGCCTCCCCAGGACCCCCTCACACTGTGCTGCCCCATCCCTGGATCATCTCAGTTGCTCTGCTCAGGGCTCTAAGTCCACTATGCTCCTACAACCTGTTGTGGTAGGGCAAGAGGTGATGGTTTTAAAATAAAAGAGGTTTGATTTGGATTAGATTTAAGGAAGAAGGCTTTTACAATGAGGGTGGTAAAACACTGGCACAGGTTGCTCAGAGAGTTGTGGCTGCCCCATCCCTGGAAACATTCAGTACTGGGCTGGATGGGGCTCTGAGCAACCTGGTCTAGTGGAAGGTGTCCCTGCCCAAGGCAGAGGGGGTGGACTAGATGACCTTTAAGGGTCCCTTCCAGCCCAAACTATTCTATGAGCCTATGATCAGGGGCCAGAACTGCACAGATGTGGGTGCACCAAGCTGTAACACAGCATGCAAGAGATGCCCTCTTTCTTGTTCTGTGAGGCCAAGCCCTTCCTGATGACATCACCACATTTTGTTGGCTTTTTTTTTTTTTTTGCTGCACATCAAGGCTAAAATTTTAGTGAACCATCAGCAAGGACTCCAGCATCTTTTTCCTGAGCTATAATAGCCAGTTTAAGTTCAACCTCCTCTGTTTTAGATCATTTCCCTACCTGTGTGACCTTCTTTATCCACACTGAAAGGATTGACCTTCTATTTTTCCATTTGTGAGTAACGCTGAGAGCTGCACATAGCAAAGCTCCATGGACTACATCAAATATATCCTTTCACCAGCCTCCTGCAGTGAGGGAGCATCATCTGACTTTTCTGTCAAAATCCAAAGCATGCAACTCCAACAGATCTTTGGTTCATATTCCTGGGACACAGTTTTTCATTATGCTCTTCCTTCCCAGATCCCCTGTCATGGTGACTTCAAGTCAGAAATGAGCTGCTGGGTAGACACAACTCAGTGAGGATTTATCTGGAGATAGCTAAAACATAAGGTTTTCAGCCAGCACCACATTTTCACTCCTTGTACTGGGACCAAACAGAGACAGGGGAGCTGACTGTGCCAGCTCTGTGCTCTCCAGAGACCTTTGTACATGGCCAGGAGGATCCCAGCTATGGATTTATGGAAAGCAATACAGCAAAATGTGCATTGCAGCTGCTCATCCAGAAAGCTTTTATACCTCCCTCAATGGTTGAGCAGCTGAGTGCCTTTATTAATAGTAGAAGTATATTTATCAAAATTCATGGGTCAGCATTGTTAAAGCTCCATAAATTCAATTTGGACAGGCCACCATTATTTATTTTCCAGGTCGGTGCCTCAAAGAGGGATAATTTCAGTATATAGTCCAGACTTCTCCCCAGGCCTGTTTGAAACACTGTAGGAAATACACTCTCCAAAACAGGGTCTTTCTCTCTTGTCTGACTCCCTGATGAAGGGCTGTGGTTGGACCACAGAGCAAGAAGCAGAAGTGGCGAGCCCAGACCATCACATGGGCACTGTACCCAGAGTGAAGTGTGTCACTGAGTCAGACAGAAGCCCTGGCCATGGTCCCTCAGGTTTCAGCACAGTCAGAACCTCATGTGGGTTTTTCTAAATCCTGTGGTGTTTTGTTGCCACCACAGGAGGAGGCAGATATCACTGTAGCTGGATCTTCTGCCTGGCTGCAGGTCATGGTGATCCACCTGCAGCACTGCCTGTGGAAGTGGAGGAAGCTTCAGCTTTTCCAGCTCCAGCTTCAGCTCCAACTCCAGCTCTGCTGCAAAAGGGAGACCCTCCCTGATCCAAACTCACCCCTTGGTGAGGCTGCTTAGCTAAAGGGGACAGAGCAATCCAGACAGTCACTAAGCCAATGACAACATTTTCATGTCCCCATGTGTTTGGAGCAGCTGTCAGTCTGGAGGTGACATGTCCTATAGCATCCCCACACAGTTACAGTGAACACTGGAGTGCTTTTCTCAGGGAACAGGAGCTACTCTAAGGGACACAAGCTGTGAAAAAATAGGTATTGTAACATGCTGTGGATCTGATTCTGTCTCGTGTGAGATAAGCTTGATTAATGCTCAGATCTTTGACTTTGAATCTCAGTTTTTCTCCTTTAAGAGGAAAATAACTATAAGTAGAAAGAGCATTGCAGGAAAGTAATTCATAAGGATTGGCTGAAGATGAGCTGATACCTTTAAAAGTGGAGTTGAAGGCTAAATTAATGTAGAATGAGAACAGAGGATTGATTTGTTCTTCTCTTAGAAGGAGAGCTCTGAAAATCCAAGGATAGTATCATGCAGGGACAAATGGAAGTGAACTAAGAGTGAGCAAATTTAAGCTGGGAATAAGAAGAATAGTCCCTTCCCATCCCAGGCTTTATGTGCTCAAGCTTCTGGGCTGACTTCAGGAAAGTCTTCTCCTGAATGAGATGAGGGCATTGCTAGCTCTGAGCACATAAGGTGTTCTGACTGGGCTTTTGGTGATGTCAGACCTCCTAGGAAATGACTGGCACTTCCCTATGGGATTTCCTTCCTGTACCTAATGAATTTATCACAAGTGTATCAGGTCTGTGAGAGCAAGAAGCAAAGATTTTCAGCTCCCGAAGTAGAAAGTCCATCTGGACTGGAAACAGGTCTGAAGTCCTCAGCCAAGCTGACCTCGAGTGATGGGGGTTTTGCCTGAGCAAGGACTGAGATATTTCCCAGGCTGCATTGTTCTGCTGGGAAACACGAACACATCAGAAGGTATCCCAAGGAAAAGGCACGTAAAGGGGAAGATTCCTGACTCTTTTGAAGTCAGCTGCAAAATCAGAGAATGAGTTGACCATGCCTGTAAAAGCCACATCTCCCGTGAGTCCTACGAACGCGGCAGACACGTGGGAGCAGAGAAGGCAATCGGACTTTCTAGGAACGAGTATAAAACCACCCTTCAGACTGCAGGGCCGAGCCTCCCCAGTCATTTCCCTTCTGCAGGGCTGAGCGTCCCCAGTGATCTCCCTTCCAAGCGAGGGCACAGTGGGCTGCCCGGTTATGACCGAGGCATGCTGATATTTGTGATTTCAGCTTAAACCCATCTTAAATCACCATCTGACTCGGCCTTCACGGCAGGGAGAAGCAAACCCGCGGGGCTCCCGCGGGAGCATCACCACCGGCACCACCCCGGAGCTGTCTGCCATGGGGATGCTCCGGTCCCCGGCGGTGGCACTCGGGAGGGCAGCCGCGGCTCCTCGCTCGCCGTGATCGGGAGGCGGTCCCGCGGGGGGGGCCGGCGGAAGGCCGGTCCGGGGCCGGTCCGGGCGGGGCGGGCGCCGGAAAGCCGGCGGCGCGGGCTGGCGGCGCTGCGGGGCGGGCGGCGGGGCCGGGGCAGCGGCGGACCGGGCGGCCATGAGCCATGGCCGGGGCAGCCGGGCCGGCCCCTGCCGCGGCCTGCTGCTGCTCCTGCTGCAGCTCCTTGGCGCTTGCCCGCCCGCCGCGGAAACCGCACCGGCCCCGGTGGAGTCCCGGGCGCGGGCGGGAAGCGGGGGCTCGGTGGGGCTCGCGGGCCGGGGGGCGGGCCGGCGGGTCCCCGGGAGGGGGAGAGGCGGCGGTGGGAAAACCGGTATTGGCCGTTGTGTTAGAGGGAGCCCCTCGGAGCTTGCCCCGCAAATCCCGCGGCTCCTGCCCGGGGTGGCTCGGCGGGGACTTTGGAGTGGTTTCGTGCTCTCCCGAGGGATTCGGGGGCTCCTGAGCATCCCCGGGGGGCAGCGCCTGTGCCGGCCCTGCGGAGCAGCGGGAGGTCGGGCCAGACCCGGAGCGTTCTGCCGTGTTGGCAGCGGTTGTTTTCCTTGGCTTTGCCTTGTTTTTAGGTTACTTTACTTCCAGCGCATCCAGACGGATGGACGGGAGCGGGGCTTTTGGCAGAGCGGGGGGTGCTGGGGGTGCGGGGGCCGTGTCCCTTCTCTCCGGAGGTGTCAGCCAGCTTTTTCTGTTGGCGGTGGAGAGGTTTGGGGAGGTGAGGTTGTTCACCTGCTCACCCCGTCGCGGGGGTCGGTGGTTATCCGCTGTCGATGGTGGTTATCGCTCCCACATAGTCCGCAGAGCGCGGATTCTGCTCGGGGAGCCAGGGGTGAGATGGCCCCGTGCCCCAGGCCCACCCTGCTCTGGCATCCTGCTCGCTGGGTTCCCAGCCCTTGGAGAGCTCCGCTGTGCCTCAGGTGTGGTGCTGGGTTTGTCCCGGCGCCGTCCCGCCGGCTGTGGGAACGGCTCTGCAGGGAATGCCTCCATAGGGAATGCCTCCGTAGGGTTACGTCTGGGCACTGCGAAAGATCGGCTCCTTCACAGAGGAGCGAGAGTCCCTCGCTCTGCAACATTTCTACGTGGATTTTCGACCCCGGAGAAAGGAACGGGGTTTTCTGTTACGTTGTATATGGCCAAACATCCTGCCACATAGTCCTGTCTTGTCTCCAATCGGGCTGAACATCAACTCTGTAGCTTTAGACAGCGTCTGCTTTGAAATGAGAGCTTCGTCCCTTTGATGGGAAGCCCTGTGAAACCACCAGTCAAGGTATTATTTCCTAAAACTACCATGAGATCATCTTTGGACAAACAAACTCAAGCTGTACGAGGTGACTCTTTACTCTGAAATTGAAATAATGCGTCTCCTCTCAGCATCATCAGGGATTCTACTGCATTCTGTTTCTCTTAAAAGCACTTTTGTTTTTTGCATAATACATTTGAAACCTGCTTATGCAAAATCTGTATGGGAGAAGATGAAAACAGCATCCATTTGACAGGTCCCTTGCTCAGTTTAAAGCTTGTTTTACGTCATGGGACAGTCGAGGGGGACTTTCCAGGTGTTGCCAAGCAGACTGAATAGGTTGGGATGGACACATAGGGAGCACAGCTAATACCAGAGTACTCTATCGATGCAAATGGAGTACACACCTCCTCTGCTGTGACCTGTCTTTCTGGCTTTTCTCTACTGATGTTCCGTTTATCTGCCTGTGGTATTTCCTTGTCAGCCCAGGCAGAGGTGCCCTGGGAGTCACATACCTGCTCTCTGGGTGCAGCTGCCCAGTGCAGCCTGTGAGTGGGGGCTTGGCCCTTGTCACCACAAGAAGCTGTTTCTCAGTGGACTTTGTCCACAGCCCCAGTTGCTGCTTACCTGGTGACAGGCAGTGTGTGGGCAGGGCAGGTCTGCCTGCCTTTGACCTGCTAATGCGCTGGAGCTCACTCTGTATAATTGACCAGTCCTTAATAAATAGCACTGCTGATTGCTGGAGTTTTTAATTTTGCAGTCTGCCTGCCCTCTCCTCCCCAAAAAACCACACAAATCATGCTTTGGCTTTGTGAGGACGTGCAGGATGGGTGGTGACCGTGGCTGACAGCTGGTGGGGTTGGAGCAGCAAGTTGTAGGTTGCCTGATGGGACCTGTTGCGTTGAGCAGGACTGCAACCCTAATCATGCCTTGTGTCCCTGCCTACCCTCATCCTGTGCCCAGAGATCTCCATGGACTGCCAGAAAGGAACATGCCAAGTGCATGCAGGGTGTGCTGGGGACATAGACACCACTGATGAAAGCTCCTTTCCATAGGCTTTGTGTGTGAAATGTTCCCGGGCTTGCAGGGGATCACAGCCAGCTCTTGTCCGCAGTCCCCACGCACTGCGCTGGAGTTCCAGCCAGGGAGCATTTGCTTGAAAAGCCCCTTTTGTGCGTGACCCCGGTGTGGGGACGGCAGTGGGACAGCTCTGCCCACAGGCTGTGGACTCCTGGCTGTCCTGCTCGGGGCTCACCTTCCCCGTGACCTTTCCAGCCTCCGTGCACTGCTCTGCTCCCTCGGCCGGACCCCGCGGCAAGGTCAGGCGGCCGCGCTCTTCCTCCATGAGCAAATCCTCCAGCTGGCTTGCGTGGCTGGTATTTCTTGCTTTCCTGTTTCCTCCTTTCCCTGCTGGGCTTGCAGGGTGCCCGCAGGCTTTGGCTTGGTAATTTGCCAGGGAGTTAAACCCATGATTACCGTTCCTGTCTCTTTGCGGTGCCGTGGGTGCAGGCCGGTGAGTGTCCTGCTTTGGGGCACAAATCGTAGTTCCTGCTAGGATTAGATCCCTCTTGGCAAGAAGTAGGATCTGGTCCCACTTGAGGGTCGTTCTCCTCTTTCTCTGGCATCTTTCTTGGGTCCTCTGTGTTTCCAGCATGACCCTGTGCAGCAGTGGAGGAAGGCAACTTAACCCACACTCGCTACTTATTCTGTAATAGAAATGATGAATCTGCCTCTGAAAGGCACCACAGTTTCTCTTCTCTCCAGAGAACTCCAAAGGAGAAAAGGAGCATCTGGAAGCACTCTGCAGAGATGTGAAGACATATCTTCTACCCCCTTGCTGAGTGTTATGAACCTTGTTTTTGGAGGGGCAGCATGGTCTTGGCTCTGCTGTCTCCGTGCTCTTTTATCCCTTTCTCCGCTCTGGTGTGATGCTTCTTTTCCAGCCCTGAGTTGCAGTCTGCTTGGTTTCATTAATGTATAACTTTGCAGATGAAAGGATCCTCAGGCTGGGGGGTGATCTGTAGGTATAGCTGGGCAGAGGGATGGAAGGAGGGATAGTTAGTCCTGATGTCACTTTGACTGAGTAGCTGTTGTCCTCTTGCATGCCCTTTCAGCATACCCTGGGGCTGTTCTTGCTATCCCAGCAGCCCTTCTTTCAGCTAGGAAAATCTTTAGAGTTTGGAAGGTACATCTGAAAGCAGAGTTACATTTGCAGCACATGAAATTTTCATCATGTTGTGTGTCACAGGGAGATACTACATGTGCCTGAGCTGAGTAAAATGGATACTCACAAAATGGTTTGGATTGGAGGGGACCCTAAAAATCATCTGTCCCTCTGCCATGGGCAGGGACACCTTCCACTAGACCAGGTTGCTCCAAGCCTTGTCCAACCTGGCCTTGAACACTTCCAGAGATGGGGCATCCACAGCTTCTCTGGGCAACCTGTCCCAGTGTCTCATCACCATCACAGGGAAGGATTTCCTCCTAACATCTAATCTAAATCTCCCCTCCTTTAGTTTAAAACCATCCCCCTTGTCCTATCACTCTCTGCCCATGTAAAACATCAGCCCATGCACTGAGCAGACAAACAAGGGCACAGCTCTTGCCTCTTGGCACCATAAACTGCTGCTGGGTCCTGGGGCCCCCCTGTGCTACCTGCACCCATCTGCTCTGCACTGTCTGCCCCAGGGTTTGCTGCTGCCTATTCCATCACCTTCTGCCATCAACCTTTCCTCCTCCCTGGTGTCTCTGGTGGTCTCTCATCTTCAGAGCACATCTCTCAGAGCATGGTTTAGGCATCTTTTAGTGCTCTCCTTCTCTGGGTGATGGTTCATTGCAGGGGTGTGGGTGGTTCTGGCTGGTTCATATCTGGGATATGTGATGATCATCATGGATCATCACATATCTAGTGGGACTGAGATGAGAAATCGGGGACTCAAAGGGCCCCTCTCCAGCAAGATTAAGCTTCCCATGTGCTTCTGTGGGTGGATAAAGCCCTTGAGCCTGCCCTCAGCAGCTCCCCCACCAACTGCTGTGCTCTCTCCCTTCCAGACTCCCTGTATGTCTCCGAGTACTTCTCCCAGAGTGCACAGAAGCTGTCCTTCTACAGCTGGTATGGGAACGCCAAGCTCTTCCACTTCCATGTGCCAGAAGACACTGTGCTGCTCCGTTGGCTCCTGCAGGCATCCCGGGGGAAAGGACCCGAGTGCACCAGCATGGAGATCACAGTGTATGTATGTCCCTGTGCCAGGGATTGCCCACATGGGCATCCTGTCCTCTTGTCCTGGTTGCTCATGCTGGGGCTGGTTGGTTGTAGGAGGCTGGGCATCTGTTCCTCAGCTGCAGGAGCCACAGTTTCTTAATGTACAAGCACTGGATCTGTGTTTAAACCTGTAGGAGTGTTTTGTGTTCATGTTGCCAGTGAGTCTGGGGCTGCCTGTTGGACCTGCTGTCCAAGAGACCCCTTAGAGATGCTGGAGAGAGCTTCACAGTGAGGATGGTCTGCTGTTCACACAGAGGTGTTCCTGGGCCTTTCTGTGCCTGGCAGGACCCTGCACATGGTGCCAAAGGATGTGGCAGGACTACAAGGGGCTTGAGTGCACCCAAACTGATTGGATGTGGACAAATTCTCCAGTACAGAGGAACTGAAGAGACTGGGGGCACTTTGGGAGGGCTGTGGCTGTGTGTGGAGCACAGGTAGAAGAAGAATGTCATGTCCTGCAAACATAAGAGCATGAGAAGATTGTAAATGCAATTTAAGTGCAAGAATTGGGGTTAAAGCAGTACTTGACTTGTTGGAAGATTTGAGTTCAAAAACCTGGAAGAATGTTTGGAGGGTAACAGGTTTCCTGGGCAAGTCGTGCCCATGGAGACATGTGGGTCTCCGACACCCAGTTCACAGAGGTCTTGGGAGTGACTGAAGCTGCTTGGCTTGTGCTTCCCTGGTCTGTCCTGGGCACAGACCAGTGCTCTTAGAAGCTGCTCTCCTGAGCAGCCTGTCACAGGCTTTCTGCTTCCCAGAAAGCTTTCCTGTAGTTTGGGCATGTGAGGGACAAGAAAGCAGCTAAATGATCCCCTAAGAAACAAAGGCTAACCCAGACAAGCTCCAAGGGGTAACAACATACCACCTGTCACATTTGCTTCCTGGACCCATTACATTCTGCTGCAGAGCAGCCCAAAAGCGAGCAAATTAAATGCCAAATTGACTGAATAAATATCTTGCATGTTACTCAACTGCATGTGTTCCTGCTACGTCAAACGCTGGGCTGCTTATCTGGAAAGCAGAAGTGCTGGGGAACTGAAGTCTGCAATATGGGCCTCCTTGTAAGCATCTTTTTAGTCTGTCTGTCTACCCTTCTTAAAAGAGGAAATAGGAAGATTCAGATCTTAGCTGGAAAATGAAAGCTCTTTGTGGATGGCTTCCCCTATAAGGGGAATTTGCTGATGGTTGTAAAGAAGGAGTAGTCTTGCAGCTGGGGCTTAACCTCAGTAAGTGTTGGAAATTTGCTTCCAGGCTTGATGGAACCATGTTAATCCTTATCTTAATAATCAGCCAAGTTACAGCAATCTCTAAATAAATCCTGGATAAGCTAATAGCAGCCAGTCCTCACCGGATGAAAACGAGGGCTCCTGTGTTCCACTTGGAAACGTGGGGGTTTCCAGCCTGCTCCCTCTCCGATCCCAGGCCAAGCTGGGTGTCCTCTGAGTTTGTACCCCATTTTATCTTTCCAGTGCCTGTACAGCCCTTGGTTCATTGGCACTCTGGTTTCTCTCACAGGCACTTTCGCCACGGAGCCCCTCCCGTGATTAACCCCCTGGGCACTCGCTTCCCTGCCAACGCCACCGTCCGTCCTTCCTACAACATCAGCATCGCCCTGAGCAGCGCTGTGCAGAACACCACCTTCGTGAACGTCACCACCCCGGCGGCAGGGGACTGGTTCATCACTGCCCACCTGCCCGAGGCCGCCGGCAGGATCGAGGTGAAGGTGAGGAGGGTCCCGCCGAGGGTCCCGCGGAGGGCCCCGGCCGCACGGCCCTGCCCGGTGTGTCTCCTCACAGCCACAGCTGACCCCTGTGCTCTCCCCTCCCGCAGGGTTTCTCCACTCCATGCCCCTATATGTTCCAGGCAGATATGTTTGTGCTCAGACTCACTGATATGCCTGTCCTGGAGCCTGGTGTTCCCATGCCACACACCGTTGTCTCGCCTGCTAAGCCACTGCATGTCAAGTGAGTGAGGGCAGCGGGTGGACAGAGGGGCACGGGGAGGGGGGGAGAGATTTCCCAAGGGAGCTGCTTAGGGGGAAGCCACTGTTGTTCCCATGTGGGGCTGGAGCTGTGGGGGGGTCTCTGAGCCTGTCTGCTGAGCCCCCTGCAGCAGTGGTAGGGTTTGCACGGGGAGCACACGAGCACCCTTCTCCAAGTCTTCCCACGTGGTCATAGAGGTTCGACTGCGTGAACTTTAGTTCTTTGAGATGTTTCCCTTGGGAAGGATTTTCACACCACCAACCAGGGCAGTCTAGTTCTTGCCGCAAAGCCCTGGGGACTGTGGTGGGTCATGGCTGGCTTGCACTGAGAGTACAAGCTCTGCAAAGTGCTGTTCCCTCCTCCCGCAGGGTCTTCGTCCCCAAACACGCCGCGGGGATGCGGTTCCAGCTGCGGAGCTGCCTGACAAGTGACCAGAAAGCGTGTGCTGTGCGGGTGGTGCTGGGCTCCATCACACTGCCCCAGTCCTTCCAGAAGACCCTCACCTGCACAGGGAGTGCAAACTGCAGCCTGGCCCTGGACTCGCCCCCCTGGGAGAAGTGGCTGCAGATCATGGTGGAGAGTCTCGGCACTGCCAATGCCAGCGTGTCCATGGAGATGCTGGCTTCTTTCACAGGTGGGATCCCGCTTCCTCCAGCCCTGTGGAAAGGACCAGAAGGAACTTTGTGTCTGCTGTGTCTCTCCTGGGCCTTTGGTTGCCTGGCTGTGGTGGCCTGCATCCCCCAGCATGCTGGTTGCCTCCTCTTGGAGGCCCAAGGCCTAAGCGTTGCTTTGGGGTCAAAAGTGAAGGCTCCAGTGTCCACTCCAGAGTGACACTTACTAGAGCTGCCTGTTTTGGAAATGCCTGAGAAGTTCAGGGTCTCTGAAGCAATGACCTTTTCCAAAGGTTGTTTGGGAAGCAGTGACTGGCTTAAGATTTGGTGTGAAGAATAGTTTGGGGTGGGTGTACCAGACTAATGCTGTGTTGACTATCAATTGGCCACAAGCAGGTTATGGACAGGAAACCATCTCACAGAGGTTTACATGGGGAAATGTCTGGGGCTGTAGTGAGGGGATGTCCCCATTTCAGGTGACACCTTGTGACTCAGGGGGTCACAAGTCCCTTGTGGTGTCTTTGCATCCTATTACCTGACCATAATCCCTGTTTGACTGCTGGAAGCTCACCAACTAGGTACATTTTTAAAGCTTTCTTCTGCTGGGGGTTCTGCCATCCCCTCCTCAAAGCAGAGCCTCATCCTGTGTGCTGGAAGGCCTGGCACAGGCGTTAGAGGGGAACATAAGAGTCTTTGGGAGCAATGGACAGGCTCCAGCACTGGGACTCTTAAGTGTCACACTCAACTCCATCTGTCATGATGGCTTGTGCCTGTAGCTTCACTGGGTTGGCTTCTCCTTCCTGCTCAGCCTTGTCTGCTCATGTTTGGGGAGCTGGGAGAGACTTTTATGCAGCCTGTGGCTCTGGGACAGCTGAGTGCTCAGCTCTGCTGCTGGCTAGTGAGTAGTCCCTGGGTACCTTGAGGATGCTGTGTTATCCCTTCTTCTCTTCCCCCGTCCCTGCAGCTCCAGGGTGCTTCCACCCACTGTACTGCTGTCTGGCTTCCAGCACTGTCCCAGCTTGTGGATGCTCCTCCTGCAGAGGTGGTGCCTTTCTGGGGCTGCAGCCAGTGCTGCAGTGATGAACACCCCCCCAGTTTGTGCTATCACTTGGAGGGCTGGAGCTGCCTGGGTGAGGTGCTGGTCCTGGCTGTGCTGATTCCTCTCCTTCTTATGCTTTACAGTTTGCAGACCAGGAAGCGCCAGTTCCTTCCTTAACTTCATCAGCCTAAACCAGAGCCAAGCTGGTGCCAAACCAGGTACCACAGGGGCAGCAGGGAGCTCTGCTCAGGCTGCTGGAGAGGCTCCACACAACACGTCTGGCCAGAGGAGCTCCTGCCTGCAGAGCCAGCCCGTGGTCCGTGAGGACCTGGATGTTGTGTCCGTGCGCTACAGACTCCTCAACGGTCCCAGCGTGCCCGTGAACTCCCTGTCCCCGACCCTGCTCCTGCTCAACCTCAACACTGGCATGGACAGCGGGGGCTCCCTCGTGGTCAGTCTCCTGCTTAACAAGGTGAGGGGGCTGACTGATGGTTGTGCCCCCTTTGCGGGGCTTTGTCCCTGCTCCTGGGCGGGTTTGCCAGCACACTCCAGGGGTTGTGGGACTACTTCTCTTTCTTTCTGTTGCTACAAAACACTCTGAGCCTGTTCTAGCTGCTTCCAGCATGTCCCACCTGCCAGCTCCAATTGGAATGCCACAGCTTGCAGCATGTGGCAGCGGTGATGCAGAGGAGACAAAACGGGAAGCAGCTGCAGTGCCATCTTCTCCACGGGAGCCTGGCACCTTGCCACCAGGAGAGGAGGCTGAGCAGGGAAACCCAGGGATGTTCCTGCCCAAGTCACTCATTCCCAGTCTCCTACAGTGACCCCCCCCAAAATCAGCCACCTGAAATGCTATGAAACTTCCCGAGGGCTGGAGCAGGGCTCAGCCCTGATGTCCTGCAGCCTCTGGCTTGTGCCACCCTGTGGTGGTGTTGATGTGTCAGTGTCCCAGCTTTGGGGCAGTTCCCCCAGGAGGGCCTCTTGCCTTTTAGCCACTACATAACACGGTGGCAGCACAGGGTGAGGTGAACATGGGTTTGGTCAGAAACCTGCTGAATTGATGATGGGTGACCTGCAGGATTTACTGTCACCTGCTGCTCCCATCTGCCATGGGCCCTGTGGGAGATAAACAGTGCAGGGGGATGGCATTGGGGTGCTGTGACATGGGACACTGCTCTGTTTGCACAGACATCTGTGAGCCTGGCCAATGCCACCGTGGTTGGATGTGTGAGTGCTGCCTCCCCAGTGCTGTCCCTCAACGCCACACGGAACTGCAGCACAGGTAGGAGAGGCTGGCACCTGCCACCAGCTCAGCTGGGCATCTCACTGCTCTGCTTTTAGACCTCATGGGCTGTCAGCTGACTCAGGACTTCGTGGGGTGTCCCAGGGAAACTGATTTTGAACTGACTCAGGACTTTGTGGGGTGTCCCAGGGCAGCTGATTTCAGAACAAACCCTCCTGAGGTCCTTGTGCTGGCACATTCCCAGGGTGCTGGGGTGCAGGTGGTGGTTTGGCACCAGGAGTTAGCCTCCACCAAAGAAAGGTCTGGTTACCAGCTGGGGCTCTTCCAGCCTTCTTAGCAGGAGGTCTGGGGATGGTCAAGGCATTGCTGGTGTGCAGAGAAGCTAAGCTCTGCACTGGAGGAGTAGCCAAGACAACAGGCTGTTCCAGGTGCCCTGTGCTGTGCAGACAGCTACTGAGAATTGAGATGAATGAAAAAACAAGGGTCTTGGGAGCAGGGGTCCTCTCCATCCCCCCGGTGCCTCCTGAGCATGGGAGCAAGGAGCCACTGGAGCATCTGATTCCTGTGTGATCAGTCTCAGCCTGGGGTTGTTGTGGGCCCTTCTTCCCAAGTCTGGTCCATCACAGCACCCTGTTTCCTTCCAGCTTTTTCCCAGGGCTACCCTCTGAGCGTGAGCACATCCTCTGCAGAGGCAATGCTGATTGTCCTGTACCCTCAGACTGATGACTGGTTCCTGTCCCTGCAGCTGCTCTGCCCAAAGGGCCAGGGGTGAGTCTGGTGTGTCATCCCACCCTGGGGCCTGTTCAGAGCACTCTCCCTCCAAGTCCCACTGGCCTTGGCTCGTGTGAGCAAAACTGACCCTCTATCCTCACCTCTGGGAGAGGGGAGGCAATGGGCACCCAAACAGCTTAACCAGTGTCAAGCTGGCACATATCATGCAGACTGCAGATGGCAGAGCCTGCCTGGGTGAGCTTCCCCTTTCCCCTGGTGGATTTTGAGGTGATAAATTGGGAAATAATTGCTGCTGTTACCCTTTTGGGAGGTCTTAGAGATGCAGGCAGCTGTGCCCATACTTCTGCAGTTTGCCTCTGTTAGTTTTCTGCCTGCTGGGATGAGTGCATGATGTAAAAGAGTGGTGGTGACACTGGTCTGTCATGGGGGTCTGAGGAGAGCTGACACCCACCCAGACATCAGTTTGGCAGTCCAAGTGGAGAGGGAGTAGACTCTGCTCTGAGGTCATAGGAGGGATGGAGCAAATCTCGAAATAGCAGGGAGCTTGCGTGCAGGAGCACGGTTAGATCCTTGGGAGCAGAGCTCAGGGCTGCCCAAAGGTCTGGGGTGCCAAGGGGACCCGCTGTCCTTGCAGAGAATGTCCCAGTGCAGAAGCCAAAGTGACGGTGTTCGCGTACCTCACCCCCTGCTTCAACGACTGCGGCCCCTACGGGCAGTGCAGCCTCCTGAGGAGACACGGGTACCTCTACGCTGCCTGCAGCTGCAAGGCTGGTGAGTGCATTTTCCTGGGAAGCTCTGCCATCCTCCCCGAGGGGAGGACGCTTTGTAGGGCGGTGGTGTTTGGGATGGGGAGCCTGGGGTCTGCTGTGGCTGCCGGCGTCACAGCGCCCGGGGAAGCGCAGTCTGGGGAAACGCAGGGCACCCCAAGGGTGATGGGGAATTGGGCTTGGAGGCTCCCCGGGGCTTGGAGAGGTGTTTCTGAGCATCCCCAGAGAGATTAGGGAGCTTGAAAACGCCTATGTCAGAGTCTGTGCCTTTCAGGGAGGTTTGCTGTGTAGGTTCCTGGTATGGGATACAAGGAGTCCCTGTCTGTCTCCTGCCAAAAGCCTTAGACTTGGAGGTGCCCCTGGAGGAGGAACATCTGTGTCAGCTGCTAATTATCTTAATGGCCTGAGAGGATGGTGCAGTCTGTGCTGTGGGGAAGATGAGCTCTGCTGTGCTTGGGTGGCTCCGTGTACCTGTTCTCAGCAGAAGGACAAGGCAAACTGTGGTTCCCTGCTGCTCTGGGCCTGAGCCAGGACCTCCCTGCTGCAGTGCTGATGATGGGTGAGGAGCGAGAGGGAGAGCAGCATCCTAATTTCCCCGAGGGCTGCCAGGTTCTGGGAAGCCCAGAGCACCTCAAGGGAACTGGGGAATCAGGCTGAGGACAGCTTTCCGCTGAATCACTCGCAGCAAAATGCCCCATCTGCATATTGGTGGCCCAGAAATAAACCAGGGAGAGCAGCTTCCCTGCTGCTCTCCAGGGGCAGAGCTGCTCTAGTGACTCTGGAATGGGATGGATGTTACTTTTAACTAAGCTCCTTGACCGTGGAGTGCCTGCACATCCCTCATCTGCCCTGAGGCTGACCTCCTTTCCTCAAAAGGAGGGCATGGGCATCTTAATCTTTAATTAAAATCATTTAAATAATAAAAAAATGCAGATTTGTGTTTATAGAGGCTGTCTCAGTTCAGTCCTTGGTATCCAGTCAGAGGCTGAGAATTGTGCCCTGTGCCAGGCACTGTCCTTTAGGAAATTTTCACTCCCACCATCCTGTGCAGCCCTGGATGTCACCGTGGGCTGAGGCAGTGGGTTTGTTCACCTTGGAGGAGTTGGAGTGGGATCAAATTGCACTTTCTGCTGCCCATGGGGTTACAGGGACCCTGGAACTGGCTCTGCAGGGGGAGCACAGGGAAGGGCAGGAGCCCACAGACATAGGCTGCAGCAAGGGGGCTTCCACCTAAATCAAAGAAGACCAATCTTTTCCCCACCAGGCTGTGTGTCTTTGCACAGTATCCAGGTTTCCATTCTTGGAGATCTTAAAAAGTCAGTTGGACAAGGCCCAGAGCAGCCTGACCTGGGTTTGGGGTCTGCCCTGCCATTACAGGTGGTAGGAGAGAAGCCCAATGGCTTGCTCAATGGTGGGGATCATTCTCCACCCTGGTTCCTGGGACCTGTAGGGATCTTGCAGCCAGCTCATACCATCATGTGAAGCCTTGAATGCTGTTTCACAGCAAGGAGCGTGAAAGGAGTGTGTGTTGAGTTGCTGTGGGGATGGAAAGTACCAGTCTGGGTGTAGGATGGCCTCTGCTACGTGGGAACAACCTGGGGGATGTCCTCAGAGCAGACATGGAGCTCTGCTGGGGTTCCCCAGCTTCCCACAGCAGAGCATGTGATGAGTAATGAGACCATCCTGAGGACTGTGTGTGGCTGATGGAGCGAGGGAGAGGAGGCTCTGGGATAGTCCAAGTGTGTGACTGCACCTCCTGAGGCATCCCAGGCTCCTGCTGGGGGCTGTGGGATGACAAGGTAGGGCCTGTGAGATCCACAGAAGCCTCTCTGCTCCGCAGGTTGGGGTGGGTGGAGCTGCACGGACGACACCAAGGCCCAGTCCATCGGGGCACAGAACTTGGCCACCCTCCTGCTCACCCTGAGCAACCTCATGTTCCTGCCAGCCATAGCAGTCGCTGTCTATCGCTACTACCTGGTGGAGGCCTCTGTCTACACCTACACCATGTTCTTCTCCACGGTAGGGACTGCCTTCTGTCGGGTCCCCCTCCAGCTCCCCCTGGGCACTGGGAATGCTGCACCAGAGAGAAGTCCTTGGTGGAACAGCCCCTCCTGGAGCTCCACAGGGAGCTTCTAGGATCATTAGACAAGCACCTCCATGGACATGTTGTGGAATCATGGAATTATGTTAAGGGGTTGGAATGGACCTTAAAGATCATCTAGTCCCAACCACCCTGTGCCATGGGCAGGGACACCTCCCACTAGACCAGATTCCTTAAGGCCTTATCCAATCTGGCTTTGAACACTGCCAGGGTTGGGGCATCCACAGCCTCCCTGGGCAAGCTGTTCCAGTGTCTAACCACACTCACAGTAAAAAAATTCTTCCTAATATTTAACCTAAATTTCCCCTCTTTCAATTTGTACCCATTACTCCTGGTACTGTCACTACAGTTCCTGATGCAGAGTCCCTCTCCAGCTTTCCTGTAGCCCCCTTCAGATACTGGAAAGTTGCTGTGGAGTCTCACACAACCTTCTCTTCTCCAGGCTGAGCAGCCCCAAAATTCTCAGCCTGTCTTTCTCTTCTCCAGGCTGAGCAGCCCCAAAATTCTCAGCCTGTCTTTGTAGAGGAGCTGCTCCACTCCTCTTACCAACTTCATGGCCTTCTCTGGACTTGTTCCAACAACATGTTTCAGAGCCGGAAGGGGTGTTCTTTTCCCTGGGATCTTCAGTCCACACTGAGGGTGCTCATATTTGGGGCCAGGACCCCAGGGATGGAGATGGGTTGGAGCATTTTGCACTGGAAGGTGCTGTCCCAGGAGCTCCTGGCTGCTGCTGGGAGGGTGCAGGTTGATGTTTGTTCTCGCCTGCTTTCCATAATGCCACAGTGGTTTGGTGGAGCTTCCTGGAGGCACTGCCTGCTGTGGGCTGAGCCTTCTCCTGCCTCTCCTTCCCAGAGCACTGTGTGGTGCTGCTGGATCCACCTGGCCTTTGCTTTTGTCCCTGGCTGCAGTTCTACCACGCGTGTGACCAGCCGGGCGTTGCAGTGATGTGCATCATGGACTACGACACGCTGCAGTACTGTGACTTCCTGGGCTCCGTGGTGTCCATCTGGGTGACCATCCTGTGCATGGCCCGGGTGAAGAAGATCCTGAAATACGTGAGTGTCAGGTAACCCCGTGTGGCCCGGCCAGCCCTGAGCCAGCCAAGCCACAGGTGGCCACGCTGAGCCCTCTCACCTCTGTATTTTAATGACCAGCCTGGTGACAAAGCCTGTTTGTCACCCAGTGCCACCCTGATTTTTAAACCAGTGGGTTTGTTTTGTCCCAGGAGTTTGGCTTGTGAACCTGCATGCTTGGAGGGACTGGGCCTGAAGGGACTGAGGTTTGGGGGAAAGGTTTGTGGGTTCTCTGGTTTCTCCATCTGAAGGTGTTTCTCCCAACTCTTGCACAGATGCAGGGCTGGGTGGCCAGGAGGAGAGGTCCTCCCTGCCTCTGGCATGGCTGGCTGTGCTCTGGCAGCAGATGA